GAGGCTAAAGGCTTTCTCTGTCATCTTGGGCTGGAACTTCTGGCCCGGGAAGCAGCTAACAACCCGGGGAGGCTCTTTGCTACCCAGGGGCCTGCAAGTTGGTTCTGCCCCAGATGCTCAGTACTTGGGACATGCTGTGCTGGGCACTTGGGGCACAGTGGTCAAGGCAGAAGTCTCATCCTCTTGGGACATGTGATGCCCATGGCCATTTGAGTGGCTTCAGATTGTCAGAAGAAAACTAAAGTTGGGGGTCAGGGAGGACCCTGAAAGGTGAGCTTTGAACTGTGGAAAGAACCAGCAGGTGGAGAAGCAGCAGGTGCCAAAGCCCTGGGGTGGGAGGAAGAAGTGGACCAGGTCTGGGGACAGGAAGAGCCCAGGGTAGTGGGAGTGTGCTTGTGGAGGGAGCAGGCAGTAAGGGAAGATGAGTTGGAGAGAGGGGTTGGGGCCTATTCAGGGGTAGTTTGGGTTGATTCTGCTCCTGGGGGTGACGAGGTCTGGAGGTCTTCTAGACAGCTGCTTCGCTGGCAGTTGGGGAGGTGGTGGTGGGGGCCTGGCTGGAGAGGTGGAGGAGGAGGGGTAGTGAGGGTGGAAGCAAGGGCTCCTGGTGGGTGGGGGGGTTGCAGCAGTCAGGGAGAGGCGTGGTAGTCGGATGGGACCTTCCCTGGGGCAGGAAGGTGACGAGGCCATCATGGCCTGCAGGCCCTGGGAGGACAGGCCTGTACATGGAGTTGCTGAGGTTTGGTGGCAGGACGGCTTGTGCCCCAGGCCTATGCCCTTCCCTGCACGTGAGGGCCAGGCACAGGAGGCTGTGGCACCCGGGCCCTCCTGAACCTGGGTCAGGGTGTGAGTGGGTTCCCCTGCACCAGGCAGGACTTGGCCTCTGACATGCAGGCCCCAGGGCCAAGGCTGCCCTCCATGTCGATGTTGCCGGCTGCCGTCTCCTGACTGGTGGCTTCTTGTCTGTATGCATGTGCTCCTGTCTGTGCACATGCCCCGCCTCGTCACCCCACCTGCCTTCTCCAGCCTCTGGCTCAGGCATCTGTGACTGCAGCAGCATTGACAATGCCTCGTGCTGCCTGTGGCATGGTAGTTTCTGGTACGTGAGGCAGAGCTTTCGACCTCTGCACTAGTGACATTTGGGGCTGGAGAGTTCTGTGCTGTGGGGACTGTCCTGGGCATTGTAGGATGTTAGCAGTGTTCTGGCAACTGTCCCCACCCCAGCTGTGACAACCAGAGTTGTTCCAGACCCTGCCATTTCTCCTGGTTGGGGGCCACTGCCCTCGTGCAGTCTGTGGCCCCATAGCTAGCCACGATGGGGCTTGTGAGACCATTCTGCATCATGGAGGTGGCCGGCGACTCGCCTGCGGACAGAGCCAGGCCGGCCAGGAGAGAGACTGCGGGAGCCCTGTCGCTGCCCAGGCCTCACGGTCCTCACCCTCAGCCTCCCTGGCCTGGGCTCCTGGCACGGCACAGTTGGGCCCCCTCCCATTCCTTCCTTTTGTTTTGACCCAGGCCTGGGCCCACCAGTCTTCAGGGCACAGGTGCTGTGCAGCAGGTGGGCAGTGGGTAGACTTCACTCTGTCCCTCCTTTGTTGTGTGGTTTGGGCCTCTGAGCATCTTTTTCTCTCAACAAATGGGGCAGAACTGCACCTGTTCTGGGCTTTGAGGATGAAATATAAGGCCTTGGGCTCCTCGTGTTGGTGGGGCTGACCTGAGCTGTCCCAGGAGGCACAGTCGAAGACACACAGATGCAGGGTGTCCCTGGGAGCCAGGGATGTGGAGGCAGATCCCCTTGGATGGCACTAGGCCTCGGTAGAGGTGGTGGGGCCAGTGGCCTGTGAGTGCTGAAGCCTGGCTCTCAGCAGTTGGCCCTGTTCTGAGTGGCATTGCTGGCACGTGGCTGGGGACCAGGACCTGGGCCACCTTGGCAGGTCCTGCCCATCTGACTGCAGTCTGCAGGAGGTCCACCCCTGTGTGACTCAGGGCCTGTGGCCAGGTGCTCTGCCTATGTTTGGAGGAGGTCTAAGCTCAGGGAGGAGTGTTTCCAAGGGTTCTAGAGCAGGTGGGCACCAGGACTGCAGGGCAGCTGGTGCAGTGTCAGCATGGCTGCCCTGTCTCTCTGCGGTCTCTCTACTCCCAGCTGGGACCCTGCCTCCCACAGGCTTACCCCGCCCTTCCAAAAAAAAAGAGCTTTTGATTCCTGCCGGGGGTCATCTAGGGAGCAGGGGCAGTGCAGGGAGACAGCAGCAGGCCTCTGGTGAAGGCCAGGGTGGGAAGGGCCTGCGGGCACTCCCTCCCAGGGAGGGCTACATATGCATAGGGGGACAGGCGTGCTTGGCACAGCAAGGATCTGGGGGTCAGGGCCGTGGGGGGCATGTGCATGAAGGGTGGCCTAGTGTTCTTGTCCAGCCCCTCCAGTGCTCACACTTGCCCCTGCCTTAGACTCCTCTCTACTGTCCTCTGTGGCCAGCTTCTTGTCCTCAGGTCTCAGTGTGGTCTTCCCACCTTGGAGGGGCTTCCTGTCTCTGCAGCTTGCCGCCTCCCAGCCCTCTGCCCTCTCAGTTCCTCAGACGCTCTGGCTTCTGGCTGATGTGCTTTGTTCTCCCCACCCTGGAACCGAAGCCCTCGAGGACAGGGTCCTGTGTTCCGCTGGTCCAGGCAGGTGTGTGGGAAGGTGTCAGCCTGCCTCAGGATCAGAACTCAGGCCTCAGCCATTCAAGGCTTGAGTTCTCTTGGTAGAGGCAGGGTTGGACCGCAGAGGAGCCGAGGAGCCGGGTGAGGTGAGGGCGGGCAGGCACCTCTGTGGGGCCCTGGCAGAGGCTGCCTGGCCTCCAGACAGTGGCTGCAGAATGTCTTCTGTGCAGGGCCCAGGGTGCTGCCTGCTATCTGTGTGTGTCATTGCAGCCTCTGGGGGAAGGCAGTTAGCATCTCTGAGCATGCTGTGGCATAGGGACCTCCCGACAGGAGCTGGGGTCCCTCAGGCATGGGGGCATGTGGGCCCTGAGCCCTGGCATGGTTCCCTGCTCTGTTGCGCTCCCCTGCCATGCATGTACCCTCACTGGACACCCCTCCCTACCTCGGGTTGCCCCTGGCCTGCATAACCTCACTGTGGCAAAAGGGACATGCTCTGGACCCCACTGTCTTGACCAGTGCGGTGGCAAGTGTCCACAGAGCTGTGTGGCTACTACCACTGTCTGCTGCAGAAGTCTCAGCCCCCAGAGGAGGCTGCTGGAGCCCCTCTCCCGGTTCCCTGCTCCCCAGCTCTTGTCTGATTGGCCTCCTGAGCCGTTCATGCACATGGACCCATGGGAGATGTGTCCTGGGCATGCAGCTTTCCTCGCTTAGGGTGGCCCTCCAAGGCTGTCCTACATGGGGCCCGTCACTGCTGCAGATCACACCTCCTTTAGCCAGTCCTGAGGGGGTGGGTGCTGGGGCTCTTCCTTCCTCCTAACCTTTCTTTCTTTTGTTTCTTTCTTTTCTTTTTTTTTTTTCCGCACCAGAGATTAAATTCTGGGGCGCTTGACTGGTGAGCCACATTCCAGCCCTTCTTATTTTTGAGACAGGGCCTTGCTAAGTTGCTGAGGCTGGCCTTGGGCTTGTGATCTTCCTGCCTCAGCCTCTGAGTGACAGGAATCACAGGTGTGGCCACCGGTAAGAGTTGGAACCCACATGCCCCCAGCCTCCCTCATCTGTCCTGTGTCCACCCTGCTCAGCAGGGGAGTCAGGAGTGGCGTGCGCCCCTGCACAGCATCGGTGTGCACTTGGCCTTGTCTGGGACACCTGGAGATGTTCTGCATAAACAGCATCACAGGTGTGCTGCTGACCGACCTCAGCAGTGCAGTGTGTGCTCTGGAGGGATCTTAGAAACTGCTCTGTCCCCTCCGGTAACCCGGGTTTTCCATGTAGCACCCTGGGGCTGCCGTAGTGCCTTCCCAGGCTGCCAGCTCTGTTTGGCCCAACGCATCTGCGTGGCCTTCTCATGGTGGCATATTTCTGAGTTGGTCCGGGGGTGGGGGCTCCACCGGGAGCACTTTGCCCTGGGTAATTCACAAGTGGAGGAGCACTGGTGTCGTGGTGGCCACGTCTCGCCTTGACGTGGTCGTTCTGCGCCTGACACTCAGAGTGTCTTGCAGTGGTGCTCTGTGGGCACTGCTGCTGCTGCACAGGCCGTGAGGCCCAGGTACGCACAGAAGCTGGGCAGAGCCGCACCCACCAGGGCAGCGCCCTCTGTCTGCCCCCCGCCCCCTCCTGCTGGCCCTGGGCTGCCATTTCCCCCTGGCACCAGGACTTTCCCTCCCATGGAGGGCTGGGGCCCTGTGCCCAGGACACAGGGTGATGTCTCCAGCGCTCCTGCGCGGCAGCCTGGTATGTGGCCGCCCATTCTCTTCCCCTCCTAACAAGACGAGGGTCAACTGCTCCTGGGTGAGGAGCACTTTGTGGCTTGCCACCTGTGGCGGGTTTTGCCCTGCTGCCTGTGGGATCGCCAGGTGGCCGTGCCCCGGGTCTCCCCGTCCCCTCACAGTCGCAGTCCTTCTGCCTCTTTCTCCACCTGCTGTGCACCCTCAGCAGGTGCTCCTTACTCCCACCTTGGCCAGTGCCAGCGGGGTATGAGTGGCACTGAGCTGGGGACAGGCAGGACAAGCAGCCTGTGAGGGTGCCCTGGGCAGGGCGTGGGCTGGGTTTGCTCCAGGCTTGCTGCCAGGGCTGCCTGGCGTCTCTTCTGCCATTCTAAACATCACGCAGGGGTCCTGGGGGAGGCAGGTGGGGCGTGGGGTGGCTCAGCCGGGAAGGCCTCCCTGGGAGCAGGAGCCATGGGCGCTGTCAGGCCCCCTGCAGGTGGCGGGCGTGTGGGCACACAGACTGGGTAGGGGTTGCTGGTGCCGATGGTGCCGCTGGGGGATGAGGAAGAAGCTGGGGAGGGGCCCACTGCGTCCTGCTCCACCTGGGCCCTGCGTCTCCCCACTCTGCCTGCTGGCCCTGACTCTCTGCTTGGCCCACAGGCTGACCCCCCACTACATCTACCCACAAGCCATCGTGCAGCCCAGCGTGGTGATCCCGGCCACGCCTGTCCCATCGCTGTCCTCGCCCTACATCGAGTACACGCCTGCCAGCCCGGCCTACACCCAGTACCCACCAGCCACCTACGACCAGTACCCATATGCCGCCTCGCCCGCCACAGCCGCCAGCTTCGTGGGCTACGGCTACCCAGCCGCCATGCCACAGGCCCTGTCAGCCACGGCCCCCGCGGGGGCTGCTTTTGTGCAGTACCAAGCACCGCAGCTGCAGCCTGACAGGATGCAGTGAGGGCCGTCCCTGCTGCAGGGACTGCGGTGACGTTGCCCACCCAGCAGACACATTCGGGCCAGTGGCCGGCCAAGCTCTGGGCACCACCAGCACCTGTGCCTCCAAGACCCCCTGGCACGTCCAGGCGGCGTCTCTTCAGGTCTAGGTCCCATCGTGCCTTGAGGGGGACTTCAGGACGGAGTGACCCAAGTGGCTGTCTGAAGAGGCGAGTGCAGGCCCCTCGCCCCTGGCTGCCCCCCACACTCCCGGTGCCGCGGGCCACGCCGACACCCTTTCCACCGAGGTGCCTTCTCAGGGAGACCTGGCAGGGAGAACCCAGGACTGTGGCCGGCTGCTGTGTGGGGACCGCCCTCCTTCTCGAAGCCGCTTCCTGAGTGGGCCGCCGGGTCCCCCCAGGTGCCAGCGACGTCCCTTTCAGTGGACGCACTGCGCCTTTTCCTGTTCTTTGTTTGCTACTGAGCGATTCCAGAATTTCAGTCTATTTTTTCAACAGACACTGCTGCCACCAAGAACCCAGAACCTAATTTTGACTGAGAGACTTGTTTTTGTTGATGGCTCCACCCAGAGACGATGACAGTATTTCTGTGATACAGTGTCTGCCGCCGGCCAGTCTGGCCCTCGGAAGGCAGGCATCATGGGACGAGAGGGCCCTCCTGGGCAACTGTCCACTGCCTACTGGGCTGGTGAAGTGTGTCTGGCCACCTGGTGAGTTCTCAGGTGTCTGTCACCACGTTGTTGCCGCGTGTCTCCCTGGGACCTGCTCCTCCCGCTGGGAGTGCGCGCCAGCTGCTGTGGGACAGGACGGTGGCAGCCCAGCCCTCTGAGGCCCCTGCAAGGCTCTGAGTGCAGGTTCTGCGCCCGCTCTCCTGTCATCACCTGCTGCACGCAGCCCGGAACGCACCCTTCCTGCTGCTAAGAGGCGCAGTGGGGGCTTCTGGTTCACTGTGGCAACTCCCGGGACTGGAGGGTGAGGGGCTCCCAGCACGGAGGGGGGCCCCCAGCAGGCAGGCAGCTGGGCTGTGCCTTTGCCCTACCTCAGGGAGCCGAGTGGCCGGTGTCCCATGGCACGCCTGGAGTAGAGAAAGCCCAGACAGAGGTGAAGGTAGCTAATGTTATGGTATTTTTATTAGAATGTTCTGATTATAAAAATAAAACTTGTTCTCTGTAAGAAGAGTTGGTCTGTAATTTTTCTCTTAAGCCCAGTGGCCCTGGGTGGCCTCTGCCTCTGGCCCTTGCAGCCTGGGCATCAGGGTGACAGAACGGACACGGCCCCAGAGCGCCTTCTTGGGGGAGAGGCAGCCCTGCCCAGGCAGGTCCCCCGCAGGTAGGGTGGGCGGGGCACTGCTATCCTGGCTGCACAGGAGGCCTGAGCTGGGGGTGCCTATGGGAGCTGCCAGGGATGCTGCCCGGGGTTAGAGAGGATGTCTGAGCATCCCCAGAACTCAGAGCCAGGGAGCAGGGTGGCAGTGCCGGGAGGCAGCAGGAGTGGGGAGGACGTGGACCCTGCCCGCTGCAGCCGCTCGCTCCTTCCTTCCCTCCAAGAAACGTGCACTGGTCGGTGGGCAGAGTTCTGGGGAGGGTGGTGAGCAGAGCATGGTCCTGCCATCAGGGTCTGTGAGGAGCACACAGGCCACTGGGTCAGCCCAATGGTGACCAGCCCTACGAAGGAGATACTGGGAGGCTGATGGAGAAGGGCGGGCTCCAGGCAGAGGACAGCAGGCACAGAGGCCCAGAGGGGGGGTCCGTGGACCAGGAGGCCAGTGGAAGGAGGTGAGCTCAGGGAGGTGATGAGGCTGGAGCTGGGCCCACTGTGGGGTGTGTACACGGACATGCCACCCAGCTCCCTGGGCACAGGGTGGTTGGGAGACCCAGAGATTTGTGGGAAGCCTCTGAAGGGTGGCAGGGCAGTGTCACAGCAGAAGGCACAGAGGGTCAGCAGGGCACTCCACATGAGGATCACCCAGCTGCTCCCGACAGGAGGCAGGTCCGAGCCACGGCTGAGGCAGGGCTTGAGCCCTGGACAGGTGCAGCTCCAGCTGCCCCTCACCTGCCACAGTGGCCAGGCCAGACACCACCCCCGCGGCCCTCCCCACCACCACACCTCACGTGGCAGATCCGGGGTTTCTGCCTCCTGAGCCTCTCGGGAGTCTTCTCCAGCTGCAGGCCCGCCACCTCCCCTCACTGTCTGCGTTTCATGTCACTGTCCAGAGCTTTCCTCTCCCCCAGCCCCAAACCCTCCATGCTCCCCATGGCCCTTGAAGTGGCCGCCCTGGCCTCGCCTGCTGCCCGCCCCTCGCTCGCTCACGTCCAGCATCAGGGTTCCAATCTGTTCCTGGACACACAGGCAGATCCTGCCCCAGGGCCTTTGCCTGCTGGCCCCTCTGTCGGGAACCTGTAGCTTCACCAGCTGAGCACGCTGTCAGCTGCTCCACTTAGTCTGTGTCCTCACCTGTCTTTGCCCCGCTCCTGCTGGTGCAGGGACCAGGAGCTTGGACCTTGTTCGCTGCTCAGCAGGGAACCTGGTGCTGACATAGGCTGCGGGGCTGTGGACTTGGTCTGAAGGCCAGCAGGCCGCAGGCATTCTGACAGGACAGGTCCAGCAAGTGCCAATGAGGATTTAGGACCACCCCCTGGGTGGGGGGTGCCTGGCTGCCAGTGGGGAGAGGTCTGGACACATGCTGGAAGGCGCAGCCTTGAGGCTCTGGAGCAGAGGCCTAGGCAGCGTGAGGAGTGGCCACCACCGCTGAGCCCTTGGTGCCTCCTGAAGCCCACCTGCTGGCCGACCCACCTGGGGGAGGGATGAGAGTGGGTGCACAGTGGAGTCCACCGTCAGTGCCGCAGGGTCGCCCTTGATTGGCCCTGGGCTTGGAAATCAGAGAAGTTCACCCCGAGGGGGGACGATGTCGGGTGGACCTTCCCCACCTGCTTCTGGGGTCCTGGGGCCCCCCTTTGGCTTTTCCCAGTTGGTTCGTCTCTGACATGCGAATCGCCCCTCTGTGGTTCAGGCCCAGGCTCTGTCCAGAGGCCTGCAGAGGCCACGTCAGGTGGAGTCTGTAGGCTTGCTTTTCTCCCCAGGGTCCTTGCTGTCCTTCCCCCACACTGAGGACCCACGGCCTCCCAACCCAGAGCAGATAAGGGCATGAGGTGCCACGGAGGGGGTTGTGGGCACTGCCAGGGTTATCGGGAGGGCCACTCGCGGCTACCGCATTTCCTGTCCCTATCAGCCAGGGGCAGCCTCTGATACAGGCCTTCAGGACGGCCTCGGGTCTTGGGAAACACCCTCTGGGTTCCGGTACTAAGGACCCTGGACGGGCAGACTCAGGAGAGAGGGTTCCTGAGGTCACCTGTGCTGAACTGAGGTGCAGGCCCACAGGACGCCAGTGCAGACCCGGCCCCAGCCGCTGACGTTCGCAGGCTGGCCACCGCCAGGCACTCACAAGCACTTTCCATGGATGGTCTCAGTTGCCCACGAGAGCCCAGGTGACAGCTGGGGACCGAGACATAGAAGAGTGAAGTCCCTACACAGCCCCAGGAGGCCTGTGGAGGCATTGCCCTAGAGGTGAAGGGCAGGGGGACCTGGGAGGCCCTGACCCCACCCAGAACATGGTAAGCCCTGAGCCTTGCAGTGCAAGGGGCCACGATCATCCTCCCGAGGGCAGGGACGTCCTGCCCTCCGATGTGTCCCTGGCAGCAGCACAGTCCTGACAGAGCAGGTGTCGAGTGGGTGTGGGCTGCAGGGCATCCTCCCCTGTGTGCCCCTGACCTGTCGGCCTGGCCCAGGTCCCACAGAGCTAGGGCCAGGAGCACAGCCAGCCACACACCTGGTGCACCGGGGGGGAGGTACACGCAGGCACGGTCACGCACGTCCACACCGCCTCACGAATCTCCTCCTTCGCCCTGACGCACTCAGGCACGGTGAGCACTTGCAGGTGTGCACATATGTGCGTGTGTGGAGGCTGACACATCGAGGGCCAGCCTCCCTGGCTACATGCTACCCGAGAGCCATGTGTCTGAGGCCGGAGTGGCAGGAGGGAGGTGGAGCTGATCCTGTCAGGTGGCACCGAGGGAGCGGAGAAGGCAGGGCAGGGCTGGCGCTGACCCCTGTGCCCTGCTGGAGCCTCTTCCTTCTGGCCAGGGGAGCGAGCACTGCCACGGCCCAGGGAGACCGGACCTGATGGCAGGCCTGACCCTGGCGGCCCTGTGCAGGCCCGGGTGGTTCCGCCCCGTTCCTGCCCCGCCTGGGCTTGCTTGGGGTGAGAGTCCCTATGGCCTGAGCCCTGGTTGCCATGTAATGGCCTGCTGCGCTGTATGCCCCCAGGTCCCCACCCTCTCTGGCCCTGCTGCCCCGAGTTACCCTCAGGAAACCACTGCTTGTGGGGCTTGTGCAGCAGCAGGGCCGCAGGGAGGCCACGGTCACGGCCACCCTGCTGGACTGGGCAGGGGAGCCCTGAGGCCTGTGACTGGGGGTGGCTCCTCGTGTCTCAGGAGGTGGTGAGGCTCGGGATGCGGAGCCGTGGCAGTGTGGCTAGGGTCGCCGCCCCCACTGGGCCACCTCTAGCTGTTACCCTGGAAGCTGAAGGAGGACACCTGGGGGAGCAGGACCAGCCTGGACGTGAGACCCCAGCAGGGGCAAGGGCGGACACAGGGTCAGGGTCCCGAGAGCCATCCCATCTGTGGCCTTCCTGTCCCCCCCCACTGCCAGGAACCTCTCCTTGGAGAGGAGAAAGGGCTTCTCCACGGCCACTCTCAGGGGTAGCCATGAAGGGCCTGGGCTGGCCACAGCGTGGGAGCCACACAGCGGGTCACCTCTGTGCTGCTGGCCTGGTCACCCTGCCCGCTGCCTGGGGAGGGCGTCCCTCCTTCCTGCTCTGAACCTGGGTTTCTTTCCTGTACAGATTAGGTGATGCCTGCCCAGTGCCCAGCGCCTCCACGGGCAGCAGCTCTGGGGTTCTCAGGACAAGAGGTTCAGCAGGCTCGTGGGCCACCCCGCCTGCTCACAGTGAAGACCATCGCCCCAGCCCCTGGTTCAAGGCTGTTTGCACACCCCAGTCGGGGTTGTGAGTCAGGCTGGGACTTACACTGGAACCCTTGGGGGAAGCCGAGCTGGGGACAGATAAGCCCAGAGCTATTGGGGGAGGGATTTGTGCATAGGAAGAGGCTGCCCAGAGGAAGCCTGCCAAGGGACAGTAGAGCCAGGAGTGGATAAGAGCAGAGATGGGTCTTGGTGACATCTATGGGGCTCCCTGATCCCACTCTGCCTGAAGGTGGACCCTAGACTTTTTTATTACAAAAGCTAATGTTCCCCTTTTCACTTATCACTTTTCACAATCCCACGTAACCAAGACTGGACCTACACAATCTCACATGGTGTGTGGTTCTTAAAATTAGGTTTAGTGACATATAACAGAAAATCCAGAGTAATGATTTTAATCTGTTTGTCATGTGAAAGAATTCTGAGGTGCACAGCCCAGGGCTTGGGTGAGAGCGGTGTGGCATCAGGAACGCAGGCTCTTATCTTCCCAAGTACAATCTTAAAACATCGTTTCCTTCCTCAAAGTCATCTCATGGACCCAGATGGCCACGGGAGCTCCAACCATCGTGTCCAAGTTCCAGGCAACAGAAGGAAGGAGGAACAGCCAGGGAGGGGGTGCCTTGTTCCCACTCTGTCTGAGCCTCGGTTTCTTCCCTGCACGGATTAGGTAGAGCTGATCCCCTGGGTGATGAGCTGAGCCATGGTCAGTTCAACTGTAAATGGGTTAATAACTGTGGTCCCCTACCCCCAGGGTGTCACAGGACAACAGGACCAGTCAGGTGGCACTCAGTGGAGCCTTGTGTGGTGTTGGGTGGAGCCCCAGCCCCACAGCCAGCAGGAATAGCAGAGCAGGCAGCAGAGGGGAGGTGAGAAAGTGCCACTTGGGCCCTGTGGTTCCCGCAGGTGGACCAGGACCTTTGGCCTTGTCAGACACAGCCTCTGCCTCAGCCTCATCCCTGGGCCTGCGCTGTCCTCAGCCTCCCAGGACTCAGGAAAACCGCTGTCCATCGAGCACTGCTTGGGGATCCCCATCCGTGATCCCTGAGCCTTCCCAGCGTCCTGTGGGGGCTGCCCGTGCCCACTCCACAGCTGGGGAAATCAAGGCAGGGTCCAGAGAGCGGACTGGTGGCCTCCTGGACCCAAAGCCACATGGTCTTCCCTAGGACCCGGTGGGCCACCCCCTGTCTTCCGTCTCCCCACTCTAGAGCCAGTGGGTGTGTGCCCCCCCGCCCCGCTGCTGCTCCTGCTGAGTCACCTGTCTGTCCCCTGGAGATGTAAACACCAAGCAGGCTCCAAGCAGCAGGTTGGGGCTGTCTAGTGAGGGTGACAGGGCGCTGGGTGTCACCCGGGGCATGCACGAGGCTGGCACCTGGCCCTGCAGATACCTCCCGGGCCTCCCGCTGGGGCCGATAGGGCCACCCTGCTTATCAGCCTCTGCCTGCCCACTCCCGGGCCTCAGCGGACCAGTGGACTGCACCTCAGAGCCCAGCAATGGGGGACGCCAGCCCGGCTGAGCGCCACACACCGCAGCAGCCCAGGGAAGTCTGCCAGAGACACTGGAAACGCCGTGTTTCCCCAGGTCATGAAGCACGCCCCAGGGCGACTCCCAACTAGACACAGTGTGTTCCAGTAAGATGACCAAACAGGCAGTGACCAACACGAGTGTGCAGAGTCAGCAGCCGGATGGGGCGTTGGGCAGCCACGGGGGGTCCTGGGTGGTGGGACACAGTGCTAGGCCGCCAGAGGGGGCTGGGCCGCCAGAGGGGGTCCTGGGCAGTGGGACCCGGGGCCTCACTCTGTTCTTAACCAGCTGAGAGCTGCAGCTGGACTGGGAGTCGGCGTGGGCCGTTGGCCACGTCACCACACACTCGGGCAGCTTCTGTGTCCTGCATGTGCCCTTTTGTCCCCTGGGTTGAGCTGGGGCTGCCACTGCTGCTCCTCCAGCCACCAGGCTCCTGTCTCTGGTGTCCTGCTCCATCTTAAAGCACAGGGCGGCCTGTGCTGTCCCCTCGCCCCACCTCCATGACCCACGGGAACTGGCTCTGCCAGCCTCAGGTCCCCCTCCTCCCGTGTCCCTCGCCCCCCCCCATCGCCCCAGCCCTGCCCTGAAGTCACCTTCAGAGAGCCTCGGGGACTCCTTGTCTGAGTGTCTCTCCATGTCCTCAGGCTCTGACGCTCCCTTTCTGAGCCATGTCCCTCTGCTGCGGTCACTGGGATGGGGGGGGTCTGGCTGTCACTTGCTCCTCCTCCCCCCGGGGGACGCCCCCTCCTGGAGGGCCCAGGGCTCCCCACCACAGAGCCCAGCTGGGGCAGGTCAGTGTGCCCCGGGTCGGCCCATCCCTGCCCTGGACAGTGCTGTCCAGCTGGAGTGGGAGCTCTGCGGCCTCCAGGGAGGGGACACTGCCAGGCCCAGTCCCCCATCCCGAGTCCAGGCTTCAGGCAGCAGAACAGGAGCCTCAGAGAGGCAGCCCGAGCCCAGTGTCGTGGGGGAGCCTGCCCGGGCCACACAGCGAGTGGCGGAGAGCGGGACCCAGCCGGGGACCCAGCCGGGGCCGGTGCCAACAGTGCGCTCCCGGCCTGCTGCTGGCACCCCACTGGTGGCACGTCCTCAGGGGAGGGCCCCGGGGCCCTGAGGACAGCATTGTGGAAGGGCATGCACGTGGACACGTCTGTCATGGAAGGAGCGTGGGAGCAGCAGGTGCTGCCCACTGGAGCTGCGCTGCGGCCTGAGGGTGAGCGCCGGCTCCCAGCAGCCCCCACCTCACTGCACTCAGCCTCCAGCCCCAGGCTGGGGGAGAGGGACCCGCCATTGAGGTACAGGTGTGTTTGATCAACTCCCCCATGGACGTGGCTAGAGGACCCTCCTGCCATTAAGCCCTGGGCAGAGGGAAGTGGGAGGAAGGCTGTTAAGGAGGAAGGGTGGGGCGGGGGAGATGGAAAGCCGGAAGGAGGGGGGAGGGGGAGGGGAGGGAGGAGGGAGGGAGGGGGAGGGGGAGGGAGAGGGACCCCTCCCAGCAAAGCCAGCCTCGCCTATGAGGTGGTCCCCTGGCAAGGGACAGTCACTCAGGGGCTTTGGATCAGCAGACCTGTGTTTGAATCTGCCTTCCTTTCCTTACCAGCTGTGTGACCTTGGCAAGCCACTTGCCTTCTCTGACCCTCTGTTTCCTCATCATGGTGCCCCCTGGGACACAAAGCAAACTGGGCACCTAGGGCCTGACGGAGGGAGAAGCATGGACCCGAGCCCTCTTATGTTCCTGCTGCTGTGCCCAGCCTGCCCTGTCCCGAGAAAGTCCCCTCTTTATCAGTCCTGGATACCAGCATCCTCCCCATCTCCCCCCCCTGACACACTTCTAGAGATATCGGGGTCTCCCTGGACCAGCGCCACCCCCATGGCATCCGTCCCCTGCTCTCTGGCTCTAACCTCAGCTGGACTTGCGAAATCTGTCCAGACCCAGAGATGGCTACAGCAGCTCCAGAAGGGCCTGGCATCCCCCAGAGCAGCTCTAGGTCCCGGCCACCCAGCCTAGATGTGGCCCTGCCTTTGCCGCAGGGACCCAGCTCCGGGGAGGGCCGGCCCCGGCATCTTGCCATGAGCCACTGTGTTTGGCTCCCCCGACTTTTCTTAGGTGCCCCCACCGCCTGCTTTTCCTTTGCTTTCCCTGGTTTCTTGAGCCGTGAAACAGCCCCTGCCCTGGATCACTGCAGAGTCCACACTGGTCACCTCCAGAGCTCTGAGAGTTCAGTGTGACGATGATTTTCTGTTGATCCACTTGGGGCAGCTATTTTGGGGGGATGGGGCTCTGTCCCCTTCCCACTCCTCTGTGTGGCTCTGAGATTTCTCCCCAAGCCTGGCATGGGGCTGATTTTTATTAACTTAAACTGGGTTTAATAGGTGACACTCGCCGGATGCGGTGGTGCAGATCTGTAATCCCAGCAGCTCAGGAGGCTGAGGCAGGAGGATTGCAAGTCCAAAGCCAGCCTCAGCAATTTAGCGAGGACCTAAGTAGCTCAGCAAGACCCTGTCTCTAAATAAAATACTAAAAAGGCTAGGGGTGTGGCTCAGTGGTTAAGCACCCCTGGGTTCAATCCCTGGTACAAATAACTGAATAAAACTAACAGTGCAGAATCAAAGCAAACAGGAACAAGATGCCACTTCACACCCACCAGGATGGCTGGGACCAGTCAGTCCCACTCGCTGGGGATGACACAGAGACAGGAGCCCTCACCCACTGCTGGCAGGGATAGAGAACTGAAAACCGTCTGTCCGGAGCTTTAAGTGATTAGACACAGAACTGGCACACGACCCAGAAATTCTGCTCCTAAGAACACACGCCCGAGAAATAAAAACACATCCATCCCCAACCTGGACTTCACTGTCCTGAGCTGCACTGTGCTTAACATCCCCATAGCAGAAACCACCCAAGGGATACACTCAGTGTGGCGGGCCACAGGTGGAATATTATGTATCCATGAACAGGAACTTAGTACTGATAGCTGCTCCCGTGCCGATGAGTCTTGGAGACTCTTTGCCCAGTGAGAGAAGCCGGTCACAAAGCCTCTGGTAGGATTCCATTTGTGTGAAATGTCCAGAATAATCAAATTCACAGAGTCAGAAGTAAAGGAAGTAGACGGATAGAGTTGCTTAGGGCTGGGGCAGGTGGCTGCCGCCCACCAGGAGCTCCCTCCAAGCAGGCATCCGGAAGCCAGCGAGCCAGAGCTCTGAGGACAAGGGGACTCTGCGAGAGAACACGTCAAAACTGGGGAGGGGAGGTCTGCAGGCCCTGCACTGCGACTCCCACCCTCTGTCCTCAATGGCGCGGCTCCTCCCCCTCCTCCTCACCATCTGCACCCAAAGTCCCCGCTCAGCTGGAATCCTGGGGTGGACGCAGGGAGGTCAGGCACGGCCTGCATCCCACCCTGGCTGGGGACATGGGCCCTGCTTGGCAGAGGCCACAGGAGCCAGGGAGGAGGTGGGTGGAGTCGGGGTCAACCATGGGGCATCCCCAGGCCACACTGGGAGCCCCAGCCCCGTGTGAGCCGACAGAGCTGGTCGGCCCCCCACCAGGCCTCTGCTGCCACTCCCCAGCCTCTGCTTCTGGGGCCTCCGTGACACACACCTGCCCAGGTTCAGCTCAGGACAGGACTGTGAGGGGACGCGTGGAGTCAGGGTGGGCTGGGCAGAGGGCCTGGAGAGCGGGGACTTGGCACTGTATTCTCGTCTTTGTTCCTAGGGGCACCCCAAACGTGTGTGGCTCTGTCCTTACAAAACCAATGAAGACCAAGAGCAAATGCTATGGGCAGTCGGGCCCTGGCGGCTCCCAGAGGCCTGCAGTCTGAAGGGCAGTCCCCTCTAATCCCGCCCGTCGGGTCGGATTTGTTGCTCCAGATTTCTTCCCAGCAGCTGGACATCTCCAGAAAGTTCTAAGTGGGAGCTAGCTGCCTTCAGCCTGCCCTTCCCTCGTGCCCCTGCTGAGTCACAGCCCTGGGCCTTCCCTGAGCTGCATCCGCCCCTCCCGCCAGCAAGGATCCAGCAAGGAACCAGGGGCCCCTCCTGCCCCCAGGCACTGGGCTTCAGGCGGAGGGAAGAGGACACCCGAGAGGAGGAGACCCAGGTGGCCTCTGGGAAGAGTCACTGCCAGCAGGTGGGTGAGGCCAGTTGGTGGGAGGCTGAGGGCTGGATGGTGGCCGGGTGGGTGGCAGGCCCCCTCCAGAAGGCCTCTGGGGGACAGTGGTGAGAGACCAGGAGGAGGAGGTCAGCCCGTGGGAAATCGGTGCTGGCCTGGGCGGGCGGGGCGGGCGGGGTGCGCGTCAGCTGTGCAGGGGCCCTTTGCCTGCTGTGGCCCCGGGCCCCATGGCCAGCTGAGCCCAGCCTCAGAGTGCTGGCCATGACGGCTGTCCTCAGAGCCGCTGAGCTTGGGGTGCAGACGGCAGAGAAATGCAAGAAGGAACCTTCTAGAATAAAGGAACACAGTCAAAGGTTATAAAATGTCTTGGGGCCTAGCTCAGATGTACCCGAGGTCTAGAGACTATTCCCTAAAACTTCATTTTTAGAATTGATTCCTCCCCCTGGGCCTCCTGCGTGACACGGGCCTTCAGTGCGGGGTCCAGGCAGTCGGGAGCGGGGACAGGGTTTGGAACCCTCTCCGCCCTGGCTGGGGACTCGGGACATGAGGTCTGGGCCCCTCCTGCAGATGGGTCAGCATGGTCGTTCCTGGGGTGGTAGTGTCCCCTATTGCCTCACGCCTTCAGAGCTAGCCTGGGGACAGTGTGTGAGAGCATTGGGCCGGGCAGGTGCGGAGGTGGCCCTTCTCAACCTCTGACCCTGGTGAGCATCAGTGTGCTGTCAGCTCCAGGCCCCCGGGCACCCTGGGCTGCCGAGGAGCCACACCCTGGGCAAGGACAGCGTGCCAGAGCTGCTCTAGGACCAGGGACACGGCTGCCACACCAGGGGCACCTGACCTTGCAGCTCGGCCCTGCATGGCACAGGGCACGGGAGCCAGGGAGGAGGCGGGCGCGAGCGAGGGGAGCAAGTGGGCTTGTCACTTGTAGAGGGTGCCCAGGGTGCCTGCCGGGGGCGGGGGTGGGCCTAGAAAGAAGGCCAGAGGGCGAGCTGGACAAGGGGAGCGGGGGGAGGAGCCCCCTGGCTGGAGGGGACTGTGGCGGAAGGGCCAGCGGGCATGGGGCACCGCCTGGGGCTGGGCGCAGGGAGGCGGCGGGGGCCACTGCGGGGCAGGAGGCCGGATTCTGCGAGCCGACTCACTGCTCACAGGGCCTGTGGCCGCTGCACACGTGGGTGACAGGCCAGGAGCCAGGGACAGGAGTTTGTTTGGAAGGTGGGTGGGACACAAGCTGGGACAGGGAGAGGGGACTTGGTGGCCCAGAGCTTTCCCGCCTGAGCACCCGGAGCAGGAATGTGCCTCTCGGGTAACTGGGAGATCCACGTTCCCTCCTGACCTGTGGCCAAGCGCAGCGTCGGGGGGCCCGGGCACCTGGGCCCAGGAGGGTGGGTGGCCTGGGACAGCACCAGGTGGTCAGCCAGGCTGCACTGCTGCCAACCTCCGCCTCCCTCCAGGACTGGCCTGGAGACCTCGGCAGGCTGCGGCAGCTGCCGCAGGGAGGGTGCCACGGCCCCTCACCCTGCCTGGAAGCCGAGCTGTTCCCCCCGCCCGGGGTCTGGCACCCAGAGGGCATGTGACCTGTGGGTTCCGAGTGCAGCATCTGCCACCCACTGACCCGCGTGGCTGGCTCTTCAGGGGAATGGCCTGGGCGCTGGGGAACCCAGCTCGGGCTCAGGCTGGCCTGGACTCGGCCTAGGAAAGGCCCGTGGGCCCTGCTGGGGAAGGGGTCCTCGACTGGCAGGAGGGGCAGAGGCTGGCAGAGTGGGTGAGAAGGTGCCCTGGAGTCTCCTGGAGGGCCCGACAATGCTGTGGGTGGACACACTGCTGCCTCCAGGGTCCTGGGGGACAGCTTCGCTCCCCTTCAGGCCGCAGGCTCCAATTTTGACCATATTTGCCGCAGAGCTGTGTGGCCCCCTGGGCCGTGGTATAAATAACAGTTATTTGCTCTGCCTCCCAGTGAAGCAGCCTCCAAGGAGCCCGCGGCTCCTGTGCGCGGCAGTGCAGTTTGGGGACATGGCCCTCTGCAGGAGGCTGTGTGGGGCTCCGCTAGGCTGGGAGGGTTCTGGAAGTTTTGACTCATCTGTGGGATGCTGGGGACAAGGGTATGGGTGTCCCTCTGCCCAAGGCGGCCTACAGAGTGAATCGTCGGCCCCCAGAAACTAAGGGTGGGCCTTGACCTGCCTCTCTCCACCAGTGGTCCCCGAGGCCGCTGCCTGAGCTCCCACCGCTGTGCCCGGGTTTCTCCTGGGAGCCATCCTCCTTGCTCCCAGCCCGAGTCTCGTGGGTCCAGCTCTACACTGGAGTAGGTGTGTGACCCTGAGCTGGTGAACAAGGACACTGCATGCTACCAGCCTCAGAGACTGGCTTAGGAATGGACACACCGCCCTGTAGAGACAACGGGACAGGCTCTTTCCACAGACATTCACCTGGAGCCTGCAGCCCGAAGCAGCTGGGACCACCTCCTGGAGGGTGAGCAAGGAGCAGCATAGGAGGCAGCCATAGAGGAGGCAGAGAAATCAAGTCCTGAGAAGTGTTGAGGCTGCTGGATCCAACTGTTCCTGAAGTGCACCTATGAGAGGGCCAGTCATCTTTTTCCATTAGACTGGTGGACTGGTCCTGACTAAATCATGACCAAGACTCTGTTATGTCACAGTGTTAGGTAGAACTCCATCATGACGTGCTCCAACCAGGTCTGCAGTTTGGGTGTCTCTCAAGCTCCGGGGAAGGATCCATTTACAGAACCATTGCCTCGGCAGGTCATGGTCCCTACAGGCCGCCCACTTTCCTTCTTATGCTTCCCACATGGCCCTTCAGAAAAGACCTCTCCATTCTCAGCCTCCCTCTTGCTGCCTCCAGCTGGAGATGCCGGCACCCACCAGCATGACCCAGAACACTCTTTAAGGTCCATAACCTCAATCACATTTGCAAAGTCCCATTTGCCATGTAACTTATTCACGAGTTCCAGAAATTAGGACATAAATGTCTTGGGGGGCATTCTCCACACCATTGCAGTCTGACTTGGGCTTTCTGTCATCTGCAATAGAAAGGCTTTTGATTGGTTTGCTCTCTTTCTGGAGATTGGTTGGACTTGATTGGTTCACATAGTTGAAATCTAGCATCAGGAGTGGCTGGATCCAGCAGCTCAAACACTGTCTTAAAGACTGGATTCTCACCATTTCTCGCCTATTATGTTGTTTGGGGACTTGGGCTCCACAGATGGCCCCTAGCTTCCACCTTCTGGATTAGTCTACAGGAAAGAAGATGTGCCCCTTTCCATTGGACCCTAAAACAAAGTTAATCTCCTTTTTTCTTGCAGGAAAGTCTATTTCTGTTCTTAAGCTCCTCACCTGGGTCAGACTCTGATGCTCCCCTTGATAGTCTCAGAATCACTAAGTATTTCCCCCAAGTGACTGTACATTGAGCCTAAGGATTGCCCTTTGTTCCTGCTGTGTGCGGGTGACAGTCGGGAGGGGGCAGTGGGAGAAGTGGGTGTGGCCACCGTGGGGCCTGTGAAGGGGGGGCGACAGGCGGGGCCAGTGGGCGGGGCCGCACTGGGGCCACCTACCTTGGAAGAGCTGGCAGGGAGGCGACAGCCTGTGTCCACCCCTGGAGCGAGACCCGCTGGGCCGGGAGGAGGTGGGAGCAGAGGCCCAGCTGGGGCGCGTGGTCTCCCGCCGCCCTGCGAGCCGGAAACCCGCGGAGGCTGTGGACAAGCAAATTTCTGGGGTTTGGGCACTCCCCCGGGAGCCCCCAGCACGCAGGGTCACACGTGCAGTGGGTGGCTCTCACTTCCTCCCGGGAACAGCGCCGCCGCCGCCTTGAGGTTTCCACCTCCGCCGGCTCCTGCCCGCTGCCCCTCCCCGAGGAGGGACCCCGGTTGTTCTTTGGGGAGCTGGTTGCCCGGTCGGCTCCGGGTGGGCAGGGCGGACAGTCCCCCTGGGCGGGCCCCTTCCCGCCCTTCCCGCCGGCCCCTGAGCCCGCCGTCCCCTCCTGCTGCTCAGGGACTGGCCGGCTCCCTCTCCTGGGGCAGCGGTGGGACCCACAGCGTCAGGTGCTGTGGGTGCGTTCCTCCTCCCCAGGCCCAGCTGCCCCGCTGGCTGCGGAGGTTGTGTCCTTAGCAGGAGCACAGCTTGCTCTTCCTGCTTGGTGCCGGGCTCCTGGAGCCAGTGGAGTGTGCCTCCCGACCTGTCCCCTGGGAGGGGGCGGGACTCGCGTCCAGTGGGCTGAATGTCTGGCAGGATGGCTGGTCAGTGTAGCCAGGCTCCCCAGAGGGTCACGGCCCTGCTCAGGGGGGCACACGGGGGCTGGGGAGCACCCTGGGGCAGGGGGGCATCGCTTGCTTGATTCTTCCCCCCAGTTTGTGATCCAGCTGGACCTCGGCCTCTGGATGGTTTCCCTGTCATTTCAGGGGCCATGTATGTCCCTTGCCAGCCTGGGAGAGCGTTGTGGGGGGTCCCCTTCCCCCAGCTTTGCTCTCTCCTGCTCGTGCCTGTCACCCCCACTAGGACCTGGTGCCTGCTCAAGGTCGGCCTGCTCTGGACTGGGGAGGTGGGGGGGGGGCACATGACCCCTCTCCATCTGCCTCACCCCTCCTGTCCCTGCCCTCCTTCCTCCCCACCCCCTCAGGGAGAAGGACCCTGGGCAGGAATGGGGACAGTAGCCTGCGGGGTGGGTGGAGTCGAGACTGGGCAAGAGTGGGTCCTGCTGTGGGGTGAGGGCTGCCTTACAGCCCCACCAGCCCCATCCTCCCCCTCCAGATGAGCCCAGCCCCTCGTCCCATCATCCCCCACTGAGCTCCTGCCCAGTGCAGGGTCCTGGTGGCAAAGCCAGAGCGCACTGTCCTTGCTGGAATGACTGATTCAGCCTGATACGGGCCGCAGCCAGTGCTGAGCCCTCCTGGCTGTGCTGTCCCCACCAGCTGGGCACTCCTCTCCCCCACCTGCTGCAGGCTCCCTTCTCTCTCCTCTGTGGCTCTCGTCACACTCACACTGCCGTCCCTCGTGTGCCCCTACCTGATACAGTGATACCACTCATATGTCCGTCACTGCTGGGCCCCATGGATGCCAAAGCTTGGGGCGGGCATCTGCCTGCCATTTGCTGCCCTCTGCCCTCTGCCCTCTGCCCAGGACCTAGAGAAGAGCCTGCCACCTGCTCGCTGCTCGGCAGGTGTCCCTGAGCACTGCACCCCGTCAGCTCCTGGCTGTGGGTTGTCCTCCTGCTGCAGGGGACACATCTGGCTTTTGTGGGGCTTGATGTTCAGACAAATTTGGGCCCCATCTTTAAGAACCTGGAGATGGAGTTCTGTACAAAGCCAGCCTGGGGCCTTGTGCCTCAGCTGAAGGTAAACCCGCTCCAGCTGAACGGAACCACGTCCCAGGGACGGAACCGCGTGCAGAGGAGCCGGCTGCAGACGTGGGGAGAAGGGCGTGGGGAGAAGGGCGAGAGGGTCTGCACCGCAGCTTGGCGGGGATCAGCGGGGATCAAGCAGTGCTACAGAACCCGGGGCCCAGCCAGGAAGTGACGTGAGGGACACGTGTGGCCCTGCTTTCCCAGGGATCTGGGAAGAGAGCCCAGAGAGATGACCGGTTCCAGCAGGACTGAACCCTCTGCCAGCCGGTGCTTTCCCACTCGTTGCTGGCCCCCACACCCCCTGTTGGCCACCAGGAATGTGTCACCGCAGTCTTGGGGTCCCTGGGAAGGCTCCCCAGGCCTGGCTGGAAGCTTCCTTCCTCCCGGGCCCTGGGTGGGAACCTGCCCTCCTGCAGCCACCGCCAGCCCCTTGCTTCACAGATGAGGCCGGGACAGGCTCCTGGGCCTGGGCCAGCAGGCTGGTGCTGCCCTCGGTGACTTGAGGACACAGGCCTGGATCCAGCTGCTGCACAGACTGCTCCTCCACCAGCTGCCTAAACCCTGTCCCTGGGGAAGGGTGCCCTGGTCCCAGCCTGCCTGGGATCCGGGCAGCCCTCTTCGAGGCTGGTAGAGCCAGTGCCTGCGACCTTCTCTCTGGCGCTCAGTGGCCCCTGGCTGGAGGAGGAAACCACGGCTCAGGTGGGTGCCTGACGTGCCAGGACCACTCAGCTACACCCTGGCATAGCTGCCACCAGAGCCCCTGTCTCTCTGCTCTAGAAACTGCTGGGAACAAGGCCTGTCCTCTTGAGTGGTGCCCGCGCTGGCCCTGGGTGTGGTGGGCACCACAAGCTTCACGCTGGACCAGTGGCTGAGGTGCACGTATGAGCCCCCTCCCCTGCGAGGTGGGCCAGGGGGAGGCACTGCTCATGCCTCTGCATGGTTCTGGTATCCTGCATAGCTGGGCAGGCAGCGGGTGTCCATTAAGTGCATCTGGAGTGAACTGAATAAACAGGCGCCCAAGCTTTGGGGACCGTCATACTTTGCACTGTAGTTTCTTCCCAGATCAGTGCCCAGGCCAAGCACAGGGGCTGGCCCCCAGGGGGGTGCTGGAAAGTTCTCTGAGATTCATGGTGACTTATCACAGACTTTGCCTTCAAGCCAGTAAGCCTGGGGTTTCCCAGCTTGTGGGGGCCTCTCCTTCTGGCTTCCCAGCTCTCCACGGCCCTCTGGGGCTCTTCCCTGCCTCAGGGCCTCTGGACATCTCCTGGGCTGGCTGCTCTCCTCCCTAAAGGTGGCTTCAGCTCAGGCACCTGCAGAGGCTCCCTCTGCCTCTCCCGAACACCTCCCCAGAGCTCCCTCTGCCTCTCCCGAACACCTCCCCAGGGCTCCCTCTGCCTCTCCCGAGCACCTCCCCGGGGCTCCCTCTGCCTCTCCCGAGCACCTCCCCGGGGCTCCCTCTGCCTCTCCCGAGCACCTCCCCGGGGCTCCCTCTGCCTCTCCCGAGCACCTCCCCGGGGCTCCCTCTGCCTCTCCCGAGCACCTCCCCGGGGCTCCCTCTGCCTCTCCCGAGCACCTCCCCGGCTTGTTGGGGCTCTTCATTTCTTTTCTTGAGTTTTGCCTCCAAGGCCTTCAGAATGGAGGAGGGAGGGAGGGGCCCAGATGCCCCGAGAAAAACAAAGAGGAAGGAGAAAGCAGAGAGGGAGGGAGGGAAGGGAGAGGGAGAGAGAGAGAGAGAGAGAGAGAGAGAGATATGAAGAAATGGAGAGACCAGAGGCAGAGACAGGAACAGAAACTGAAAGGGAAAGGGAGGAAATGGAGAAAGAGTGGTGGGAGTGAGGGGAGGGGAGGAGGAGGCGGCGGCGTCTCCCTTGGGGAGCGGGGACTGGTCGGGGTTGATGGCGGTGGCTGGGGTTGATGGCGGTGGCCGGTGGCCATGGTGCAGCCTTGGCCTGCGCTGGAAGGTGGAGTGTGCAGGCCTTGGGGAAGGTCTCCTTGGGAAGCCCGGGAGCGCAGAGTACCCCAGAGGAGCCCGGCTAAGGCAGATCCACAACGTGCCCTCGCTCTGCAGCCCGGTCAAGGCCATGAGAGACAGGAACGACGGGAACTGTCCCTGGTGGCAGTGTGATGCGGGATTGTGGAGCAGAGGACTGGAGGGGCTCGGTGGCAAGGTGTAACAGGGCCGTGTGGCCTGGCGAGCTCTTCCATGCACCGATCCCCATCCCTCGGTGTCTGCAGACAAACCCTGCAAGGCCCCCGCCCTGTGTTTGAGGAGGAAGAAGGCACCCCACACCTGGCTTCCCTGTGCCAAGAGGAAGGGGGCCAACCTAAGGGGACACTTCCTGTGGCCCCTGCGGGCACGTGCCTCTGCCCCCTTCTCCTGGCACCGGCCTGTGCAGGCACACAGGGGCTCAGCTGGTGGGGGGGTTTCCTGGGAGCCTGCTGCATGGCGGGGTGGCATCCATCCTCCCAAAGTGAAGGACACAGGAACCTAACCCCGTGCCACCTGTGGTGCGTTAGGAGATTTTTCTCATGTTTATCACAAAGCTCTCTCTCTCTCTCTAAAAATTCTTCAAGTAATAAAAGGCCATGCATGCACATGCCTGCTGCCACTGCCCACTGGGGCTGCACCTCCTGCTGGGTCTGCACTCCTGAGTTGGCAGCTCTGTGGGCACCACCCTGTGGGCACCGTTAGCCAGCTTGTGCCGTCGCAGGGCTTCGATTTTCCACCTACAACACATTGGGGTGCACAGATGAGGGTTGAGGGTGGGACCCGCCATGGGACGGAGCAGCCCACAGGCCTCTGTTCTCCACCGTCCGTCCCTGGTGCCTTCAAGTGGAAACCCCCGAGGACCCCAAGAGGGAGCAGGTGGGCGAGGGGGAGGAGGGCGGGGTGCCCTGGGAGGCGCAATCTGCCACTGTCCTAGAGATCCCCAGGCTCCTCCCACAGGAGTCCTGGTCACCATGGCTCAGTCGGCCATGGTGTGTAGCCTGAGCCCCAGGGGTGCTCAGAAGGGCCCTGAACTTGGGTGATGCTCTCCTGGCCCCGTCCTGAAATCCTTAGTGACTCTCCAGTGAGGGACTGTGCGTCCCCTTGTCCTCAGACCTCACAAAGCCACCGCCAACACCCAGAGAGCCCTTGCCCTGGGCTGGCCGTCCTGGCAGCCTCTCCCTGCACCATCTGTGAGAGGCGCCTGCCGTCACCCACCTGACTCAGGCGGGGACACTGAGGCTTGGGAGCGGGCTCCTGACTCAGGCCCCACCTGCGTGGACTGTCATATCTGGCCCATCCCCCTTTCTCTCAAAACTAAGATCAGAGAGGACTCGCTGGAGGGGACCCTACAGAGCCAGGTTCCCAGCTGTCCCAGCCAGGACCAAGGCCACCAGTCTGTGAGTGCAGAGGCCCGTGGGCCTGGCGGAACTCCTAGCGACACCTTCATCTCCCCTGGGGCTGAGGGACCTGTCTCAGGCAGGGGTGAAGAGAGCAGCCGCTTCCTGTCACCAGAGAAGTAGGCTGGCCCTCTCACCACCTGCCTCTATATTTAGATCTGGCCCCCCGGCTGGGTGTGGCTGGCCTGCGGCTGCTTCCGCCCCAGGAGGGAAGTTTCCTCCTGTCTCCCCCAGCCCTCGGGGCCAGCGGGGCCACTGAACAGGGTCCCTGGCTTCCCTGTGGCCACCTCCGCAGCCACGTGGGTGGGCAGGAGAACCCTGGTTCTCCCAGGGCTGCTGAGTGTCCCCTGAGCCCCAGGCCAGACAGGGCTCCTGGCCGCATGGGGCTGCGCTGTGGTGTTCTGAGGTTCACCCTGGTGTCACGCAAGGAGAAGCAGGGCGTGGCCAGCTGGAGGTGGTCTGCAATGGTCCAGAGCAGTGGCCCTGCCCTGGAGGCCGTTCCTCTCTCCAGGGGACATTGGGCAGTGTGGGGGAGGAGCCACCAGCATCCAGCAGGGAGGCCAGGGGTGGGAGCTTGGTCCAGGGGAGGGGGGAGGTGACCCGGTGGTGGTGTGCAAGAGGGGGGTGGGGACCTGGGTGGGTCCTGAAGGGAAGCAGCAGCCAGGATAGGGGACTGCTGGGAAGGAGGGTGAGGGGTGAGCTTGGGAAGAGGGTGACAGTGAGCAGGGGCTTTGGTGACCAGCGACCCCTGGGAAGACCCAAAGACCACTGTAGAGGAGGGAGCTCTGAGGTGGGGCGGGGACAGCTTCTGCATCTGAGACCCAGCACAGGGCAGGGTGGACGGCAGAGGCGGGCATGTGGGCAGAGGGGAAGTGGGCTGGCCAGAGGCCGCAGGGCTCCGCAGGAGGGGCCTGGAAGAGAGGCAGCAAGAGCCCGGCACAGGACACCCAGAGGCCGCACTGGGTCTGACCTGGCTGCTAACTGGCCGGGACTTAGAAGAAATCAGTTTTGAGGCTCCGTCTCCACCCCTGTGTAGTAGGTCAAGGCTGCCTCTGAGCCCAAGGGCTTCGTGCAGGGCCAGAGGAGGGGTGTGGGGCCCCAGGCGTGTGCAGGATGGATAAGTGACTTGGCATTCTGCTGACTGTCCTGGGGCACCCCAGGGCTACGAGCCTGAGTCCAAGGACAGGAGACTCTGAGGCCCCAGCAGGGATCCCACCCACTGGGGTTCCAGCCCCATGCTCAGCAGCGCCCCCTGTGGTAGCCAGAAGCCACGCGGCCGTGGTGGAGAAGGCTTGGGGTCCTTGATGGATTCAAAGTGAGTCGGAGGCCAGAGGGAGGTCCTGGGCTCTCTCTGATGTAGACCGCAGACACCAAGCGTCCAGGGAGGAGGCACTGGTCACCAGGACCGCAGGTTGCCGGTCTATGGACTGGGCAGGGCCTCCCAGGACAGCCTGGTGGGGGCCGTCGCTGACGCGGGGAGGGGCGGGCGGGCTTGGCGCCTGACTTGCTTGCTGCTCAGGAACAGAAGCAATTCCTTTGGTCCCGCCTGTCCTTGTCCCGGGTCTTGGGGCACTGTGGTTTGTCTGGTGCAGGCTCCCTGACCCCAAGACAGCGTCGCCCGGGCTGGCAGGCACTGGAGAAGCGCAGGTGGAGGGAAGGCCTTCCACGGCTTCCCGGCTTCGGACCCCTCCCTTCCTGCTCAGAAGGCCCTCGGGTGGCCCTGCCAGCTGTCAGCCTGAGGGACCATCCTAGAGACCACTTGAGGAACAATCCAAGGAGCTGAACTCGGAGCTCACCCACAAAGAAACAGAGACAGTAAACAGTTGCCCAGGGACCCACAGCCTTGCAGGCAAGGAAAGAAATGCAGACCAAGGCCCTCCCTGGTGCCCGCCGGTCACTCGGAGGAAAACATAGATCCCAGAGTGCGCAGGGGCGGGAGAGCAGGCTGACTTGAAGATGTCTCTCTGCATAAGAGCAGCACTAGGAAATTTCACCTCCAGGCCAGAGCGGGGCCAGCATAGCCTCAGGGTCAGCAGAGTTCCTCCCGTCACTGAGAAGTGGGAGGAGGAAGAAATAAGAAGCCCAGATGCCCCATGCGGCGTCCTGAGTGCCCACACGGTGGGAAGTGCTTAACTCTGTTTCCACCATTTGTAGATTGTGTCCTTGCTGAGTGACCAGGTGACATATCGAGTCCAGCCTTTCCTCCTCTGCCACTCAGGTGGAAGGTGGCAGGGCTGGGTTAAAGCCCAGGCAGCCCCACCTGCAGCCTGGCGCTCCTCCCTCCCCGCTGTTCCTGGGTAACCTGAAGGAGTTGTCCCCTGAAGAGGAGGTGACAGCAGCCCTGTGGGTGTGTGGCTTCTAGGATGCAACCCCAGAGGTTGCCTGGCAGTGAATGCAGGCCGGCCGCCCAGCAGGCATGCCCCGGCCTGTGGTCTGGAATGTGGATTCGCCACGGGAGACCTGCCATTGGTGGCCTGGCCAGACCCGGCTCTGGACCTGGGCAGTGCGCTCTCTCTTTGCTCAAGGACTGAGTCCTCAGCCTGCGGCTGCCTGAATGGTAGCTGGCCGCTGGCCTGATGCCCCAGCTCTCAGGGCTTCCCTCTGGCCAGAGTCCCAGGGCCCTCGAGGGGGTGAGTGCTGGAGGGAGAGAG